AGAGAGAGAGAGAGAGAGAGATAGAGAGAGTGAGAGAGAGAGAGAGAGAGTGAGAGAGAGAGAGAGAGTGAGAGAGAGAGAGTGTGTGAGAGAGAGAGAGAGAGAATTATTTCAGGAAATTATTATTTTTTATTTATTTAACTAAAATATCAATTTATGGAGAAATGTAGAGAACAGGAGCCAATTACACACCTTAAAGTGACCCTATCACTACAGGTTCAAAAGTCAAATAAGACAAGCCTAAGAAGAAGCTATACTCTTACCTTTAGGGTGGGTGACTCATGTGTTAAAACACAGCTGTGTTGCCGATTCCTGGCTGCTGCAGGTTTTCGACACTCCAGTGGTGTGAATATTTGCCCCTCCCACTACATGCTGTGGTTCCTTCCCCTAACTTATGTAGCACTACGCACTTCGTGTTTGGATGTGTTTGGGTCCTTCTGCCACTCCTGTACCTTCACCTGACATTCACAGCAGTTCACAGCAGTAACAGTTGACTAGGCTTCCCTGAAACAGGCAGAAGCTCTGTAAGGGAATTTTGGGTTAAACAAAAGGAACAAAGACAGTTTTAGCATGGTATATAACATAAACACAAGTAATCTCAAGTAACAGCAAAGTATACAGAAGAATGGCCTTACCATGAATCTTAGCCCCTATCTAAGCCTCAGAGGTTTGTAATTCCTAGGGGGAATATGCAATCTAGCTCCCTTTTGACACTTTTGGTACTCCACTCTCATTAGCACAAGAAAACAATGACAATCAGCTAAAAGTGATGTCCCATATGTATCTCATATGTTCTAATAAAGTCCTCCAAGGCACAGTCTGTTCCTTTATGTCTGTTTTTATGTTCAGGATGGAGGTGGATTGAAGATAGACTGCATCTTCTAGGTGAGGTCAGGTAAAAGGCAACATGCCAAGCTCTGGGTCTCCCTCTCTGGCCTTCTTCCTGAGGCTCTGCCCCATATTTCTCCTGCCAGGCTCACAGCTGTCTCAGCCCGAGCTCTCCCCCCAGGCTCCCACCAGCAGTCCTACATCCTTATCATGCACCCTGGTAGGTCTCACTGCAGCAACTGCTCCCCTACATTCATGTAGGCCCAACTGATTGTACCTCCCTTCCCTTTGCACCCCTGCTGCTCCATTCACCCACAGAAAATAGAAGAAGAGCCCCAACTTCTCTGCTCGGAGCTTACACAGTTAATAGTATTGACCTACTTGGCAGAGCTGCATCCTAGTGATTTGCCACTTCCGCACTCATCGCTATGTCTTCACTCCAGGTGGCAGAATTGAGCAATAGGGAAATAAAGAAAAGAAAAAAGCATATGCAGGGGAAAGTGGGCCTTTAAGGAAACTTGTTGCTTACCCTACAGAACTCAAAACTAGGAGTGGAAGGGCCAGCACTAGTATGCAAACCAGTCTCTGTAGCAGTTCATTTTGATGTGCTGACAAAACAAAAGAGCAGAGTGAGCTCAGAAATGATCTGATTAGCTAGCTTCTGCTCCTATATCGTTCAGTCAACAGGCTGGGTAAGTTCCTGGCCAATCTGTGCTGCTGCATTGCAGGTTGAGGACCAGGCTATGCTGTCATGATTAGAATGATTAGAAGACTGGCTTTACAGAATCACAATTACATTGGTAAATGAAAGAGTCCCAATATATCTATTGGGAGACACATTGGATACATTTTACTTAAGAAAGAACAAACCTGTGCTTAAATACTGTATATCAAATACATGGTTACCTCCACTTCTAAAAATGCCAGTTTCCTAGCTGTCGTACTGACTCTGCCTTTATTCTCAGAGTCAGTGATCCAGAACAAGTGTACAAATTAGAAGTTTTGACTTTACTAAAACCCTGCTTGCTGCATACTTGGTTAAGATCAGTGACTTATAGATTACTTAAGTCAGATACAGCCCTGCAACTAGCATTAGAAGAAGAAAGTCAGCAATTGCATCCTACATAGAACTTTACTTATTTATTATTTTTAAATAAATTATGCATTGACAGGCCAAGGTGGAGATGCAAAATGTGCCCCTTCAAGTTGAGGCACATCATCTTATACATTTGCTCAGGAGGCACAATGACAGCTACTGTCTACCAGTTCTAAGGTTACCTTTTGCTTCTTGAAAAAAACAAACAGAATCGTGTGTGCTTTTAAATGCAAGATTCATTCATGTAGGATCCAATGTTTGCAGATTACACTGAGAGAGTAACTCTATTGGTGTTGTCTGGGGAAAGGGCATTTGACCCTACCTGCCCCATCCCCCCATCCCTTCTGACTGCTGGACCCAAATCGGGGAACCCCCCCCCCCTGCCTAGTGTGTTAATAAGGTAGCAGCAAGCAGTCTTTGCATTCTATATGCAGAAGTCCTGTGATAAGTTTATTACAATATGTTTATTTTCAGTGGAAAATATATTACTAAATGGTACATTACTCACTTATATAAATTCAAAGATTGGGTCATTCAGATCTTACCAAGAAAATATGTTATTCAACTCAGACACGTAAAAAGATGTTTATGTTTTGTTAAAAGATATATACCAAACTGTGAAGTCTGTACTGATCTGAAAGAGTTGATTTTAAAATGAAAAAGTTGAAAAATTGGGATTTTAAAGTTATGGGGGGTGATTTACTAACCTAAACACATGCACGCACCAGGTGCGTGTGATTTTCACACAGCAAAACATATTTATCAACCAAAAAGTCTCTACAAGCATATTTCCACTAATGCCATGTATGGAAAAATCATGCACATGATGCATATATAATGCTGCTTCACAGTTTAGACAAAAATGGTTAGCTCATGCATTTACATTCCTACATTCATCAACGCAAGCAACACAACATAGAGCTAATTTACACAACATCACCTTGCAGGGCTTTGCACAACACACCTGCTGGGTGTGTACACACTACAAAGGTGTTTAGATTCCACCCATAGATCATGCTGGGAGGGAACACACTACAGAGGTGTATACATGTTCGTGGTGTGTTTATAAGGTTAGTAAATCAACCCCATAGTGTCAGCATATGCTATGCAATTCTGAGCCTTTCTAGCATCATTTTTAATTTAAATTTAAAGAGACCCTGTGACCACATTCTGCCTTTACAACTAAACACAGGATGACAATCCATAGGTACTTATAGCAGCCCCAAACCTTCCCGCTTCCAGCCCCCACGTTATGAATGTGTTTTTGCTGCAAGTACAAACCTCCAGGATGAGCACGTTGCTGCTTTGCCTAGGGCAGCACAAAAGGTAAATACACCGCTGCCCAACAGACTTTGATAGACTGCCAAAACTTGCACTATATATTGTAGCTCAGTGTGAATGGGGTCTAACAGTGAGCTTGGTATGCAACATCTTTTGGTGCTGATCTTCGGAGGGTTTTTTTTCATACTTTCAGCTAAAATACTATGATAATAAAGGTAGCAAGGTGAAGATGGGGCATCCATGTGGGTTGCCCTGAAGTCTCGTGATCCAACACTCTGGGAAGTGTTGATTTTCTGGCAGAATTTTGTTGCTTTAGGTTAGAAGTCTCAAATTGCTGCAGCAGACAGTGCTTCTATAAGTACAAATAATACAGATTGAGTGACTGTGCTTCTTTTTAAGGGTAGAAAGTGGACTTGTTAAAGCTCAACTACAGACAAGCAACTGAATATACTGTTAAAATACATGTATGGGAACTGTTATATCTGCCAAATAACTTCTAATTCTGCCTAGCCAATCCTGTGATTCAGGCTCTCTTACCAAACAGCATAGTCATATCCATAACCTCAACTGCAGCAGTAGCATAGCTTTACCAAGAACAGACCCTTCAGCCTGCTGATTGGACAGTGAAGGAGCAGCAGAACAATGATTATTCGTCAATCTACTCTATGCTCCTGTTCGCACATTGGTCCTGCAGCAGAGCCTGGCTGACTTCTACCCCTTCCACCCTTTTCCAGTCTAAAGTGCTCCATTTCTGGGAATAACAGAAAACTGATTTTAGAAATAATAATAACACGCTGCATATAAAAATAGATTTTTAAAGTTGGTAGGTTTTTTTTCCATCTGCTTGGAATTCGGATTTAAATGTCAGTAATCACCTAACATTATATATGCTGGCTCAGAGGAGGCTCATTAATCAAAGGTTTAATAATTGCAATGATTTTTCTATGTTTTAATCCAAAAAAACTTACAGAGGTTTTCTAGTTTAGCTATGATTTATCCTATCCCCTCTTGAACTGCCAGATAACTTAATTCCCTGGCTATTCAATTAGCCAGTGCAAAGTTTAAAAAATATGGTTGATATAAGAAATAAGAAAGTACCTGTACCAGTTTATGTCAGTTTACACTGGCTAGATTTATGAAGAGATTAAATTTAAAGTGCAGAGTTTTTATTCGGAAGGCAAATGTAAAGTAAAATATGCTGTATTACCAGCTGTTATAAGCTTCTAGAAAGCATAGCAATACATTTAATTAGGTTTGGCCAACTGCTCATCCTTTTTACAGCCCCTCTACTAATCTCCTTATCCTGCTGCAGCCCTTGAAGGACCTTTGGGTTTTGCAGTCCATCTCACTATGCTGGTGAGCTACAGCGTGCCTCAATAAACCCAAAAAGGAGAAAGGAGTACTATTATTAGGGCAGAATAACTATCCCAACCTGCATAGCCAATGCTTGTCAAGGAGGGGGGGGTATATATAGGATGGGAAGTACTTAAGTATAAAACTATTAACAAAAAGAGAACAGAGATTGTTATCCTTGAAAAGTCTAAATTGTATCACTGCCTATCCTCCAGTAACCTCTAAATAGTGCAGAGGCTTTTGATTCAGTCTGGTCACCAAAGGATGCTTTACCATTAAGGAATAACTGAACATTATGTACCAATCTCCAAGACCAACAGGATAAAGACATTAATTAGGCGTCACTACAGCAAACCTTTGTTTTATAGTTTTGGATGGGATAGGAAAGAGTTGAATCTATTTTAAATATTTATTATTGTCTTCATTGATGGAGCGATTCAACCTCTTTGTTTGTTCTGGTGACCATTGTTTCCCGGACAGAAAGTCAAACATTTGGAGTTGTCACCAAAACAGGAATAGATGGGAAATTTTAAAAGTAGAGACACTTGTTTAGGGAAGTTGGGACAACGGTCTAATATGAAATTTCAGTTCCTTTGGAGAGATTTCCTCTCACATCCTGTTTGTTGACAGGTCGCAAAGTGAAGGAAATTCTCCCCAATGGGACACAGATAGCAAAATCAATGACAGGATTTTAACCATTTCCTACGCTATTCAAAATTTGACTTTACATATACTTTAAAGAACTTGCCGTTACATTTATTACAATTTAAACTCCTAGTGACTATTGTTGGGGGTTGAAGTTTATAAAAATGCTTTTATCTGATATCCCATCGTTTAGCCTGATTTATGATTGCTATGAATTACTGCACTTGGCACAGTCATCGCACTTTTCCTCATGGTCTCATTAAGTAAAGAAATGTGTATATGTTTTAGGACTGAGCCAAGAAATAATTCTCTGTGTGCAGATAGGAGTACATTTTCCCCGATACCCCTTTTATTCTTCACAATGTATCAAGCAAAAGGAAAATAATCCTGTTTTGTTAAGTAAACTTTTCTTTTTAATTGACACATTTTTTTCATGTTTTTAACCTCTAGAAGTTTATTGTGGCTTATGTTGCTTTATATGGTCCTAATTCTGTATTCTTTTATAGGGTGAAGTAGGGCCAGAAGGAGCCAAAGGATACAGAGGAGATGAAGGACCCAGCGGGCCCGAGGTGAGTAATTACAAGAAATGAAATAAAATATTGCACCAAACAGAATTAATGTAATATGTAACACATACATAGCAGAGGTACATTGGTATGTCAATGATGTACTTCAAAACATTCTATACCTCCCAAATTTCACAAAAATTGAGTAAGCTGACATAACTATTCCACACCTCCATACACTGACAATAAAAAAGGGATGCCCAGAAACTAATCAGTCAAACCAGGAGTTCTTAAAGTTTTTAAAATGAGGACCCACATTAAAAAAACTGTACTGGGACCCAAGAAGGAAATTTTGTATCAAAATGTCTTGGTCATACAATAACAAACAAACACACAAATGGTAATTAATGCATCTCTGTATTCATAATACATCATGAGGGCAAAAATTGTACATAAGAGCCACTGCAGAACATTACCTAAATTGTGGGTATGATGCTAGCAAGCTACTCAGAACTACTGCCTTGCAAGTTGTTTCTGCTTCAAACCATGTACCCTTCCACTGTCTAAACACTGTATTTTCAAGCTTACTATCTTACCATTGAATAATTGCTTGGGTTTGTTTTTATGCTGTGGGTGTTTTGATAAAAAAAAACATTTGCTAGCTTGTTACATTTAAGGCTATAGAACACATTGTGGATGCTCTTCTCAATCTCTGTGATCTTTAGTAAAGCCAAGAAAAATAAGATCCTTGTATTTCATTTTAGTTGCAGACATTTAAGCATATCGGTCTCGGTCTCCAGTAGTTCTACATCCCCCACCCTGGACACTGCTCCAATCGACAATGCTCCTCAGGTAGTTTGATCGCTGTTGATTGGAGCAGTGTGCAGGAGGATGTGTCGGATTGCTGGATAACCGGACTGCTGTGTCCTGTGTGCATTGAGGCCCCACTTTCGTTCTGCTAGTCAAAGGTGTTTTAACTCTTTTCTGCAGCAAAAAAAAAGAATAAAAAAAAAAAAATGCCCATATTTGTTACTGTGTATGCAACCTGATTGCATTACAGTAGTACAATTGGAATAATATGTTGGGCTTTAATATAACACTTTGGAAGTTACATAATTTGTAGAACAAAAAGAGGAGCAACTGGAGAGGAAAGAGAGACAGAGGGATTTGGTTCCAAAGTAGGATTGGCCCTCCAAATAGGGAAAGCTGTGAGCTATTGCACATGCCACGTTGCATAAAATTTGGATGTGAAAGAAAATGTATTCTTTTTAACAATAAATTTGTATAGTGTGTGATGTTATATTCTAATAATTTGAAATCAAACATGTTTGTTGCTATGCGTGTTAAGTTTTTATGTTCAATATTAAGTGAAAATAGGAAAGAAAATCACATCTGAAATTTTAACAGAAAAAATTTGCCTCTGTGTGCGGAGACACTGGGAGTAAATACATTTCTATTTGAAGAAAATATATATTAGCATATTTTAGGATACCCGACGAGCTGTGTTCTATAAAACAAGGCAACCAGTCAGAAATCAGTTTAGAATAACGGACCTATAACTAACTATACTAAATCGTTAATAGCTGAAATCTAGCTGTTTTTATGGTAACTGCACTTTATTGTTAATTTTGCAATTTAAAAAAATCTTCTGTTCACTGCTTGCTATGGTGTTGCCCAATTTACTGAACGTTCTGCTCTCCTGCCATCAGAAGAGTTGTTATATGGGAGCTGCAGGGGACATAGTCCAGTAGGAATCCCACATTGCTTCCAAGCTATATATCAAGGGTTGCTTGACAGTAATTATGACTCTGCAGGAGGGGAGCATAACATCACAGAGAGATGGGAGAGTAGCCTGAAACTGTAGAAACTTAAAAGTGTATATGGCAGCAAGACATGGAGATGCAGGATAAAAGCTAAATAAAAGCAGGGTGACAGGTTAACAGGGGAAAGTAAAATGCAATAAGACAGCATTAAAGGAAAGATAATCACATGCTCACAGTTTTACACAGTTTATGCGATGTAAAAAAAATGCAGACTGACAGCATAACAAACAAAGAAATACTTACACGAGAAATAATAGATGCTGGAGGACAGCATGAAATGATAGCGAATGAGGAAATAGGAGTAACAATTCACGATACAGAATAAATGCACAACATGACATATTATGGACTACATACACAGCATGTTATATGAGGACAATATTACATATTAAGGACTACATTCAAGTTGACTGCATGACATAAAACAGAATAAATACAGGACACAATGCCATTGGACAGAATAAATGCAGGACACCATGGCATGGGACAGAAGAAATGCAGGACACCATGACATGGCACAGAATAAATGCAGGAAGATGCAATGGCATCCAATACAATAAATGCAGTACCCCATGACAAGGACAGATTAAATGCAGGAAGACACAATTACATGACCCTCTGCAGACTGCCCACAGAACACCGGGCCAGGGTTGTGGGGAAGAGGCCCTTGTCTTCATCAACATGGGGGCCCCCCCCCGGCAAAGCAACCTCCCCATATTGAGAGCATCCTCCCTTTTCTGCTATGCCCGGCTGCTGCTCGGATCAAGAATTTGGTAAGATTTTTAGGAGGGATTCCACACTTTTTTTTGGTGTAGGGGGTGCTCCACGTGAGGGGGTGTGAAGCCAGCATCCCAGCCAATCTGGAAGCCGGGGGCGGGTAATGACCTGCCGCCCACTTCCTGATTTGTCCTAGCCAATCTACTACCTGATCGGCCGGGAAGCCGGGCTCATGGTATCTTGGGGTGCCAATATCGGTACTCGATACCGATAAAGTACTATCGGTGCATCCCCACTGAAAAGTGAGCTGAATTGGAGAATTTTTCAGATCAGCTATGTTGTCCTAGATTGTTCACTTCTGTCTTCTCCAAACTCTTAACCCTTTTGTGAAAACCTGTCTGTTAGGTTTTTTTTATGTCTGTATCCAGAAGCAAAACAAAAAGTGACAGACATGGTTCCAAAGTGAAGGAATATCCCCTCCTAGACGGTGCACCCATTGGAAGATTTCCCCTCACCTCCTATTCCTGTGACAATCAGCCATAAAATGTTGAATTTTTTTTTTTGTTTACATTTTTGAAATCTTTTTAGGAATGCTGTGTGTATGGGAACACATACAACATATTAAAGGGCTTTCTCAAACCTGACTGCAAATTAGGAAATACGCTTTAAAGTCTGTGCATAATTTAGTGATGAATACACTGCCAGTAGGTACTTTAGGCAACAGTTGAGATGTCTCAGTAGAAAATGCTGTTGCTATAAAATAAATTATTATTACAAGGGGAGAATTATTGCAGTTTGTTGAAACACAATGTAAGTGAAAATGTATTATGGAGAGAGGTAAGACATGGGAGAAAACCAATTCAGTTTAAGTGAAAGAGGGACAGCCCTGCCTATCTGATAGAGTGTCCCTATTATGAGACCGTAAGAGGGTTGGGAATTGATTAGAAGTGGATGTGTTTTTGGCATATCTGGGCAAAGTCTGACTAGTACATAATTTGCTTTATCCAAATTTTAGATTTGCAGATGTTTTCAGATGCACATTATTTATAATGTAATCTTATTTTACTGGAATCAGTCCACTGGAACTCAAGTTTCAGATGTCCCAGTCTCCTCTGCATAGCCAAGAAAAGGAGATAGTTGGAGAAATGGCATGTTCAACTAAGTTTACATGTAAAGTATACAAAGAGTGTTGGAATCGTATACACTATGCACTTCTTGTCCTAAACTTTAGAAAATTAACACCAGATTTTGAAGCAAGAAAATACTTCTTCATGCCCTCCGTAATGATGGGTTCCATGCTGTGTCACATGTTGTGCCTTAGTACAGTGTACTCTGGTTGATGCCACAATTCAGGGGACAAATGTCCACAGTGAAACTTGATGAGCTGCTTTTGATTCCCGCTGGACTCCAGCATGTGTATTAAACTGCAATCATCTGCAGCTGTTTCCTGTGTCTCCTCTGTTTCCCATTAGCTATAAATCCTTTTTTTTCTTTCATTTCTTCTTATTTTTGGCTTTATTATTTTATTGCTTAGGGGACTAAAGGACCAAGGGGAGCTAAAGGATTACCCGGAGAGCAAGGACTAGCAGGCGAGAGGGTAAGTGATGCATTTAGAGAGGATTAATCAATGTTAGAAATCTTGGAATGCAGCAGTGTTTAGTGTTTGTTAACATGGTTACAATGTATATACAGTATAAAGCACAGAATCCGGTCTACAAGTAGATAGCAGCAGTTCAGTATGCTCCTATAAACTGCTGCATATGCTGACATAAACAGACAAAGTAGATGTGACTGTAGCTTTGGTGGGACAAACCCAATTTTTGAAATACATTAAAAGTTGTGGCTTATTGTTTGTTTCGCCCAAATATGCTTATTGATAAGCGTATCATGGGTGGCTGTTCTGATTTTACTTTTAAAAATCATGACTATAGAGCAGGGTAAGGCAAACATGGTGCTCCAACTGTTGTGAAAGAAATCCCATCATGCCTCTAAGAGTTATGCCTGTGTCTGTCAGAGTTTTGAAATGCCTTATGGGACTTATAATTCCACAACACCTGGAGTGCCATGGTTGCCTAATTCTGCTATATTGTATTTTACTTTTTACAAAGGCTACCTTGACCAATAAATGGGTTTGGTATGTTTTTTGGTTTGGCTGAGCATTTTGAAAGGCTCATAGGCAACAGCAACCACGTCACAAAGAAAATTGCCTTATGTATGTGTTGGGATGGCAATAGTCAAGGCTGTCAAGCACAGCCCAATATATCTGGTGTGAACAAGCCCTAAAGGCTTTATCATATATATAGATCAACTGAGTTTGCTGCATTAAATATTGTATGGAACCCTATCATTTATAGCCCTTGTATAGGAATGTCACTTAACTTTATTGATGGTGTTGCCTTGACACAATGATTAGCAAATCTATGTTCATTTTTTAAAAGAAGGCTTAGCCTAATTGGGCTTTGAATCTTGACTTACTACTCTCTGCTGGTATATCACACACAGGGACATCCCTATAATTAGGGAGCCTGAGGCAGTTGCCTCAATCGGCATCTCACTGGGTCACAAGGTGGGGGTGGCAGGTGTGCCTGCTGCCCCCTTTTTGGCCAGAGCGTCCCAGGTTCCCAACAGTTCTTAGCACAACTCACTGACGTCATTGGTTGCCAGGAGCTGGGTGGAATGCTCCGGCTGGCAAGCTGCCCAGCTCCTGGCAACCAGTGACATCAACGGGCGGGACACTGGACAGAGCTGGAGCCAGAGGTACTATGCACCCCCCCACCCCACC